AAATGGCGGCTCCCCGCTTATGCAAATGAAGCCCGGGAAATTCAAATCCCGGGCTTCATTTGCAAGTGCGGTATGCCTACATTACCCCGCTAGTTCGACCTAGCGGGGTAGTGTAGACATACCCCAAGAGACTAACAAGGTCCAGGAAGACCAGCAAGCTTGCTCTGACAACCTCTATGTTTAGTGACTTCTAAAACATGCAGCGTTCTCTATATGACCAAATTTTGCACCAAAATCTAGCCTCACATCTGCTATATATCTTTAGTGATATAGTGTATAGCAGCCTCCCCTCAGAAGAATCATAAAATAATAGAATCACAGAATACTAGAACTGGGACGGACCTTGAGAGGTCAAGTCCAATCTCCTGCCCTCATAGCAGGACCAAACACCATCTACATCATCCCTGATAGATGTCTATCTAACCTGCTCTTAAATATCTTTAGTGATTGAGATTCCACAACCTGCCCTGGGCAATTTATTCCAGTGTTTAACCATCCTGACAGTTAGGAAGTTTTTCCTAATGTCCAACCTAAACCTCCCTTGCTGCTGTTTAAGCCCATTGCTTCTTGTCCTATCATCAGAGGTCAAGGAGAACAATTTTTCTCCCTCTTCCTTGTAATAACCTTTTGGGTACTTGGAAACTGCTATCATGTCCCCCCTCAGTCATCTCTTTTCCAAAGTAAACAAGCCCAGTTCTTAAAGTTTTCCCTCATAGGTCATGTTTTCTAGACCTTTAATCATTTTTGTTGATCTTCTCTGGACCCTCTCCAATTTCTCCACAACTTTCTTGAAATGTGGTGCCCAGAACTAGACACAATACTCCAGCTGAAACCTAATCAGTGCAGAGTAGAGTGTAATAATTACTTGTCATGTCTTGCTCACAACACTCCTGTTAATGTATCCCAGAATCATGTTTGCTTTTTCTCTCCCAACAGTGTCACACTGTTGACTCATATTCAACTTGTAGTCCACTATGACTCCTAGATCCCTTTCTGTGGTACTCCTTCCTAAACAGTCGCTTCCCATTCTGTATGTGTGACACTGATTGTTCCTTCCTAAGTGGAGTACTTTGCATTTGTCCTTATTAAACTTCATCCTGTTCACCTCTGACCATTTCTCCAGTTTGTCCAGATCATTTCAAATTATGACCCTATTCTTCAAAATACTTCACGAGGAGTAACGGTAGTTCGGAATAGGAAACCTAGTCCGAACTACCTAGTTCGTGCCGTGTGTAGCCGCGCGGCACGGAGTCTGAACTAGCGGACATTTAAAAATGGCGGCACCCGGCAAGATGCAAATGAAGCCCGGGAAATTCAAATCCTGGGCTTCATTTGCAACTCCAGTTGACTACATTACCACCCTAGTTCGAAGTAGGGTGGTAGTGTAGACATACCCTATCAGAATACATATCAATAGTGTGGGATTTCATAATCTCATGTTATAACATGTCTCTCTTTTAACAATAAAACATATTAAAACAATGGCTACAGAAACACTGCAAACATTTGATTTTGTGTCATTGGGATTGTATAGATACTTTCTGCCTCACTTGGAAAAAATATGAAAGGGTAAAAAGACTGTTTCAGATTTAAAAAGCCCTTCTACTTTGCTAAAAATAATAGTCTCTATAAGACAATTTTTGAGCTAATTTTTAACAAACATAATTATTTGGACTGTAAACATAAGAAAACTAAAATCTAGAAGGTGTACTATAGTAAGTAGTGTTGTTAACACCAGCAGCAGTACAAATGGACTACAGACAAAGAAAGGAACATGCAGTTCTATCTGACTCATAATGTTCATAGGCAATACATGCATTTCTGCTGCATGCTTTATGGTACAGAAATTAAAAGAAGTGAATAATGTTTTCCCTAACAGATATATTTTGGATTCCAATCTAGTTTTTATGGAATGTGAAATGAAAACAATAAAATATCCTGCTTTGATAAAGATTTCAGTTGTATTATTAGAACTTGTTAACCTTCTGGACCATTCAACCTCTTTAATGTAGATTTATACCAACCTGAAAGTGCTGCTTTTAATGGCCACTCTACAGGGAGCTCAATCCATCTGTCTCCATTAAGAGAAGAAGAAAGTGTTTTATTTATAGAGAGACTAAAGGTATCCAGGCTTGCTGTGTTCTGCATTTTAAAGTGATGAAGAGACAACTGGGATGTGTTATTTCCCAAACTCTGAAGACCAAATCTCACTTTATAAAGCATCCCTAAGTCAGATGAGAAATATACCTAGGGAGTAACAAAACAAAAAGTTAACATTCAGAATGATAAAAAAAAAGTAGGGAGTAACAAAACAAAAAGTTAACATCCAGAATGATTAAAAAAAAAAAGGGATTTTCAGAAGCGTTCAGCCTCGGTCTAACTCTGCTCCCATTGCGGTCAATGGCAAAACCCCTTGATGCAGCAGAGTTTGGCCAACAGTGAGTACCTTCTAAAATATTGGTTTATTCTTTAGTGGTATTCCTTATATGCTAATAAGAGATCAGTCCAGACTCAAATTCAAATTACATACGGTACTATTAAATGTAAATGTTTAATGTTAATATAAACTGCTTGGATACGCATAATTAATTACAAGTAATTGTTGACAAGGATACGCTTTATCACCAGGAGCTGTGAGAGTACAAAAGAAATACAGAGTAACTATGCTTAAAGGTACAATTCAGCTCATCTTGCCATATTGTTAAGAAGTTGGGATATGGGATATTTGCTAATCTCTATATAAAAGCTTTTTCATAAGAGATGCTAAAAAGACAGGGAAAGGTATATATTTTTACATCATATGTTACTTGATCCTCAGTTTGATGTTGTACTTTGTTTTCCATGGAAATTGGGTTTGACTTGCCCTTGCTTCCATAAACAACCATGACCAATTTAGAAATATTTTTCACTGACTTTTCAAATTCTTCTGTTGTTTCTTCACTGAGTTTTGTGAAATAAATTCTCCATGTGCCATCTGAACAAATGAAAAAAGGAACATGAAGGAAAGACAGATTAAGACATGTTTTTCCTTTTATATGTTCACCAACACAGCCAAAATAAAATGTATGCCATGCACATTTATTTTCATTATATTTGGGTGTCAAAATTATTTAGTCGTACTTTGACCAACTAATATGTATGAAGGTATATTTTTATTTCTTAATATTACACGGAGGATAATGTCACCTGCACTGGTAAACATAATTACAAATTTGTGATGACAAAGCTCCCATATAATCATTTTTAAATAGTGAATACAATACTGGGGTTGAGGCATCAGATCTACCTGATTTCATTTGCTGGTTTTTTAATGGCAAGGCAGCTGTGCTCCTCCTCTCCTGAATGTCTACTTGAAAGAAGATTGAAAATCAAATTAATGCTTTTGTAAGACAGTGTCTAAATTATAATTAATGTCTGTATTCATCTCTGGTGAAGCAATTGGCTGAGTGCTTTATCATTTAGATTAAAGATTTGACTAAGAAGAGTACAATGAGATTTTCTAGTTCAGCTTCCTTTATATACTGCTCTGTATAATGAACTGGGCCAAAAACAAACACAATATAAAATGGTTGTGATCCAGACAAAATATGTTTTCATTTTAAAATCATTCATACCTCTTTGATCAGAGGAATTGACAGGTGCCACAGGCCCGAGGACAAGGTGTGGGGGACCCGGGTCCACACTCCTCAGAAGGGGTGGTGCCTTAGATGGAAAGGGTGGAGCTGAAGGCAGTCAGTCCTTAGCCCTGCCCAAAGCTCCTGGCCACCTCCACAAATATTGTGACCGTAGCAGTAGCGAGGTGCTCTGGGCCCCTTTGAAACTCCAGGCTCCTGTGAAATTTCTCTCTTTGCCTCCACCTGTCAGTGGGCCTGTTGTTGATATAACTACTGCTACCAGTGATTTGGATGTGTCTGCACAGATCAGATATTTTAAAGATGATTTAAAAGACTGATTCTGCTCCCTCTGAAATCAACTCTCATTAACTTCAGTGGGAATGGATCTGATCATAATATCTTTAGTCATTAAAAGACCTGAAGTCAGTGAAAGCATCCTACTAAAGTCAGTAGATTTTGGATCAGGCCATAATTGCATGAAATATTTTCTTCTATGAAACAAAGGAAAGACATTTGCGTTCCTGCAGAAGTTCAACAATATCCATTTTTGAGTCCATTCATAAGGTCATGCAACCTTGAAGAAACTAAATTATTCCTTATATATTTTGCCAAGAACGTTTCAATTATTTTTTCAGAGCAAAGCTCAAGCAGCTCACAGAGTGTTGTGTTTTATAAAGGTAGCATTTTGTTTCCTTTTGTTTCTAAAAATCTGAAGGCTGCAGGATTAGGAATGAGGCAACAAAGGAAATATATTGTAATGGTACTCTGGCTACAGCAATGATAGCCTTTGGGCCAAATTCCATTATGGCAAATGCAGCTGTGGTAAGCAGAGAAGCCTTCTTTTGGCTTCTGCTAGAGTACTGCTCTTAGCAAGGACAAGATATTTCATTGTAAAATAAGGTACCATTTATGGAGTATAATTTACTGCTTTTCTGAACAGGAGCATAATATGACCGAACCTCTCTCTGTCTAGAGATTTCCTGTTGACTACTGTTGAATGCTAGGTAGACACATTTCCAACATATCATATTCTATGTTATGAGAATGAGGTATAGATCAGTATGTTAGACAGTCATCTTGAATATTATTGAGACATTCTTTTCTACTACTTGAATGCCATGGGACAAACTATCTAAACCTATCCTTGGCAAAATAGAAAAGGGCAGGATTTAGGTATCCTGGTAATGTTTGCAATGACCTTTAAAACTTTATCCTGTCATCAGGGACAAAATATAACTGGTACCCGGGGAGATAGCAAGTTACATAAAGTATGCCAGGTTTTGTTCTCATTTGCCTCAATATAAATCTGGAGTACAAGAGGAGAAATTAGTCCCCAATGAAATAATGGATTATCAAACAGTACCAAAACTAAACAGTGGTCAGAGATTGTAGTTCTCCCTTAATTACAATGTGATACTAAAATATCAGATACTATAACTTACTTATAGAAACAGAAAATATAACTGCATTTGGCAATTTGGAATTAGTTTCTTAGTAAAAGATGAATGATTTATATGATCTGAATATATTTCTAAAATAACATTTACCTGTAGCTTTTAGAGTTACTGAGGCAGATTTTTTCCCATCTTTTAGCCATGTTTGAGCCATAAACTGTGTCGTTGTCCCAAGAAACGTTGAGTCATACACAATAATCTTCTCCAGTTGCCAGTCAGAGCCTTTTCCTTTCTCTATAACCAGCTCTTGAAGAGAGCCAATATCTACTGCTTCCACACGGAAAACATCCACCTGACACAGGCAATGTCAACAAATAGATGCGTATGAAAACAAACCCACCAATGGCATCGAACCATGAGTTGCTGAGTTACATTTTCAAGGTAATTCAGTAAAATACAAACAGAATAAGAGATGACAGGACTTAGAAAAACCAAACTTCTGTCAGGAGTAGGAGCCCCTCTATTGCTAAAACACCTCAGCTTTTCCAGGCACATCATGCTTATGCCTAATAGCTCTTACAGGTAAGATTTTCTCCTCAAACTCTACCTATGTTTTCAAGAGGTACAATATAAAAAAATCTAGCTGTGTGCAAAACACACTTTAAGGTTCACATTGCGGGGAAGAAACAGCAAGGCAGGGGGACAGGAATAGGGGAAATAAAGACTTTTGGGGTGGAGTTATCAGGATGGAAAGTTTACTCAGCTTGCAGCAACTAGAATTCCTTGAGATGTATTATCATATCTCAGGTGCACTATTAGATTGTGCATGTAGTCCATGCGCTGGGAACTGAAGAACTTATCTTAAGAGTGGCGAGGAGTCCTGTGGCACCTTATAGACTAACTGAAGTGTAGGAGCATAAGCTTTCGTGGGCAAAGACCCACTTCATCAGATGAATGTTGATACTCTTTTCTTAAGAGTGTGCACTACTAAGTAGTGTGCACGCCCACTCTCCTTGTGCTCAGACCCAGGATGTAAAGGGCGTTTCCAGACCACCCTCATTTCAGTTCCTTTTTCTCCATTAGGCCATCCTAAGGGAACTGAAGCAGTGGGAAAGGGGGATAGGTAGTCCGCTAGACATAGGGATAATACAACTCAAACAACTTTAGTTAACTACAAAATGTGCAACCTTTCATTCTTCCTCAAGTGCTCATCCCCACATTTAGTACACTTCAAATGATTCACAAAGCAGCATCCATCCTGAGGAGGGAGGTGCCTGGAATTGTATATCAGTCCAGATTGCAGAACTGCCCTGCCCAGGGAGGTATAGAAGGCTTTTGCATGTACCATTTGCTTAGCAGCTGGTGAAGATATGCACAAAGCCTCAGGATGCTGCTCTGCAGAGGTTAACGATAGATACATCTTTAAAGGATAGTGATAGAAATGTAGCCATGTTAGTCTGGTGCAGCTGAAACAAAAAACAGGACTGTGTAGCACTTTAAAGACTAACAAGATGGTTTATTAGATGATGAGCTTTCGTGGGCCAGACCCACTTCCTCAGATCAAATAGTGGATCAAATAGCTCATCACCTAATAAACCATCTTGTTAGTCTTTAAAGTGCTACACAGTCCTGTTTTTTGTTTCATCTTTAAAGGAGGCTGCTGAGACTGCATGGCTTTCATTCATTGTGCCCTCCCATTATCCCACCAGGCACATTGTTCAGCTTGTAGCAGAGAATTAAGCCTCTGGGAGGAAATGGCCTTTCTCTTCATCCTCTCTCTGAATGAAGCGAGGGTACGCCACTTCTGAATTACTATGTTCTCTGTAGGAAGAAGACAAAGACTCTATGCACATCCAAGGAGTGCCACATCACCTCTTCCCTATTAGCCTATGGCTTTGGGTAATTAAGGTAAGTGGATGCTTTAGTGGAGGTGCAAGTCCTATACCACATTAAACATGAACTTCGGGTGCTGCCTCATGAATGCTTTATCCTTGTAGAAGATCCTCCATGAGTCTGCCATGAGCAATCATAGCTTCTCTACTTTTCTGGCCAAAATG